AAATGTGGCAGACGTGTCAGCCAGGTTGTCCTAGTATCAGTGAAGAAGAAGTGTGTGCTCTTTCTGTGTTACTGGAGAGTGATCTACACCATATGATTCGTGAGCTGGCCCAAGGGGCAGGATTAGCACATATAACTGTGCTTCACATTCTGAAGGAATGCCTGGGCATGAGAAAAACTGCATCACGATGGGTTCCGCATGATTTGACGGAAATGCAGAAATGGCTATGATACGACGCTGCTTGTAACCACTTGGAGCACAAAGGAGAGGCTTTCTTACACCGTATCATTATACTGGATGAGACATGGGCCAAATCGTACGAGCTAGAAATGAAACACCAATCAAACGAATGGTGTCGTTACGGGTCACCACAAAAATCAAAAGTTCTTCAGAACTCCAGCAATGTGAAAGTTATGGTGATTCTCATGTACAGCTGTGATGGTGTTATCCTACCGCATACCATTCCCTGACAGCAGACTGCCAGTACGCAGTATTACTGTTCATTTTTGGAACAAAACCTGTGACCAGCTTTGAGAAAGAAGCGGTGACACTTTCTGCAGAACCCACCCATCATTTTGCAGGACAGTGCTTGGCCGCATGCAGCACAAGCTGTGGCTGATTTGTTCAATCGATGGGGCTGGGAAGTGCTGTACCATCCACATACTCCCTGGGCTTAAGCCCTTGTGACTTTGACTTGATTCCTAAGATGAAGGAACCACTTCGTGGCATTCGCTTCAGAACTGTTCCAGAGATTCTTCAGGCAGTAGACCACTCCATTTGAACTATCAACACAACAGATGCTGCTAAAGGTATCCTACGACTTCCACATTGCTGGCAACAGGTTGTACACAATGATGGTGACTACATTGAAGGACAGTAAAACTTCAAAACATGCATCTGTTTTGTATCAGTTGTAAATAAATAGTTGCCACTATTAAAGTTCACCCCTCATAGAATGGATTTTGTAACTTACAAAGTCCATATTTCCTACATGTTATAAACCTTCATTATTTAAAACACACATTTTCTGTCTTCTGTACTAAGATTATTGACTTAAATTAGACATCTATATGCATTACATATACGTTCTCATTTTTCCGAGAATAAAATTTGTCGTAGCCTTCTAGTCTGCCTAACATGGAGTTTCATATACCAAAACCATGTTGTCTAGAAATATAATAATGAACATTGCCTGTTGTCCAGACTTTTCTGTTCCACGTCAGGCTGGTCGATGACTATGACCAGTTTTAGTGTGCAAAAGCAATCGTATGCTCATTTCATTTCATTGGTAGTCATTTAATGCATATTCATTAGCTCAATCCATCACTAAGCAGTTGCTATGAGGTGCCACAGATATACTAGAAGATAGTCAACAAGAATACAAATTAATAAAACTGTCATAATGCAGTATTGTGGCATGTTCTGCTGAAAGGCAGAATTTGGAAGCCAGTAGAGACAGCCACTGCTATGTGATGGCGCAGTAAACACCTCTCTGTGACAGCAGTGATTTCACAATAGAAGAGCTGTTGTTGACCGTGTTTTCTGTGAAGTCCATGCTGAGGCTAGGTAATGATGAATAGCTGCCATTATGACAGAGTCTAGAGGAGTTAGAAGAGGAGGTTGATGTGAGATGGCCGCTAGCCTGGGAGCAGAGGAGAATCCACTGCTAGAAGATATTACCAAGCAACGCAGTGGACACTAGTCTCTGTGTGATAATGATTTGTAAAGTGTAGTCATGAGTCCAATAAATCCAATTACCAATCCAAACCCAGTCTACAGTCACACAGTGTGTGACTGTACCATAGGCAAAACCTGGGCAAAAGACAGGCACTTTAGTCAGTGCATGTATTAGTGGAGAACAGGTAATTTAAAACAGTGGGAAATTCTTAATAATTAATACAGGAATTATATTTGTTGCATGTGATATCAGACAAAGTCATTCCCTATCTGAAAATACAAATACAACACAGTGAAACAATTTAGATGAACAGTTGTCCATATCATCCGGAAGAGAACTTGGATAATAAAGAACTTAATTTATTGACACTCTCATAATATACACTGTGGCCAAGAAGTCACCATACCCCTAGTTAACATACCACATGATGAGTCACTCCACATACATCAAATGGGTCTGTATGTGCACCGTTATTTGAAACACAGCCTGATGCACCACAGCGTTATATGTGCTGAAGCATCTATGGTGTAATGGTGGTGAATGTCTGTTCCACACCTCTGTGCAACTAGTCATTTTTGTGATATTGTGCAGCCACTTGTCCCTTGACAGTGCCCCACAAAGAGCCATCTGGTGTGTTAAGATCAGGACTGTGTAGTGGTCTGGGTAATGTTTGTGCACAGTGAGGGTGAAATGTGAAGGTGCTCCATCATGCTACAGCCACAGATCTTCCATGAGTCCTCTGTCTCTAAGTTGTATTAATCATGCCTCTAACATGTTTGCATAAGATGTAGCATTAATAGGTCCATCGAAGAAATACAGGGGAACCAAATGAGTTGCAGTCATACCAGCCCACATCATCACGTGGGGTGGGTCATATTTCAAATCCACCGGCAACTGCGGATTCTCTGTAGCCCAAAATACAACATTTCTGTCATGGGTACTGTGCTCAGTGCAGAGAACTTTCAGGTGGGATGCGGTATTCAGGAAAGTGTTCAGCAGTGCATAACATGCATCATGGCATCTATTCATGTCAACATGTAACATTTTATTAGTGAATGTCTGGTGATACGGCTTAAAATTTAAGTCATTCTTCCTGTGATCTTGCATTTGTGAACATGGCACACCAAGCTCTGCTGATCGTTTCTGCATTTATTTCTGGAGAAATGATAAACCAAGGCTTGACAAGAACAAACAAATGTTTCTCCCAGTCCAGCAATGTCACTTCTGTTCGTGGTGCTTTATTAAATCGTGTACAGAACAGTGTTAGTCACATCACTATTTGGTCTGTCATACTCCCACATGCTACCTGTTACCCATTCTTCAACTGAATAACTGCTGGTATTGGCCAGTCACAACACAGCCAACTCTGTGCCCTGCAAGCATATGCAACTGATAAGTGATGCCACACACCACTTTCAGATTTCACACATGGTAAGTTAGGGATACAATGATCTGTCATGTAAATGCTTATTCTGAGCTGATTCAAAATGAAAATGACACAATCAGGCCTGCATAGATTCCTGTGTCAAGTCACCTAAGATTTTCCCTTTATTGTATTACTTCTGCTGGGCTTTCTTCTTGTCTCCTTTCCTTTTCATGTATTGCTTTCTGATACCTTTTATTTGTCTGCAATATCATATCCCATCCTTCATATTAAAACTGTTCTGTGAGACCTGTTCTTCCATTCCAATATCCATTTTGTAATTTTATCTTGTACCCTTCTTTCTCACATATTCATTTCTCATCCCTTTTATTTGTACTTCCCCTATCTCTTCTGTCCATATCCTAGCATGTTGAGTTTCCCCTGAGCATGACAGGACCTGAATATTTATTTAGTTGTACGTCAACCACAGACTTTTGAATTTGAAGACTTACAGTAACATTAAATCAGTCATACCTTTACCTGCAAATTCCCAACTTATGATCCTATTAAATTAATGCCCATTAGACTTTCAGACTTACCACCCAGAAATCAGATTTAAACAATGTTGTAATGCTCTGGTGTCTCAAATCTGTAACTCCACAATATAGAATGAAATATTAACTTATAGTTTAAATGTTTTACCAGTATGTTATTTGATAGTAAAACCAACAGAATTGTAGTAGGGGTCAGAATATTGAAAAAAGGACGTGTGTTGAGCTCCAAAAACTAACCCTATACATCTCTGTGTCATAATGAGCTTGTCATACATTTCCATTCAAACCCATTTTTGGGAACACATTAATTTGCAAGTTTGAGGTATGACTGTGTATAGATGTTTCAGTCACCCATCTTTAAATAAAGAAAGCAAATTTCTTACCAAACATATTTTGTGTTTTAATCTGGTGGCCAGATTTATTGGAACTTTGTTTAGGCCTATACATAGATAACAGCTTACTTTACGGAACATAGAGTGTACTTGTTGAAGTTCTCACAGCTTCCTGTGTGTATATGATTCTGCTTGAAGTCTGTTCCCTTATTTCTTTTTAATACACAAGGTTTGACAATTCAATTCCTGGAATGGCTGCAGCATGTTGCTGGGGTGTTGAGTCAAGCATACTCATGTACCCAAGCATGTTTGAACATGTTTCAACTTGCATTTACATATGCCACAAGCCAAATGAGTCATTCGATCCCAAGCAGCAGAGGAAGTAGTACATGTCCATGGTATACTGTTTGTGGAAAAATGAGTGACAAGAACCTGGAGCAGCTTATAAACATCAAATTCTGTGTGAAGATTGGTAAAAGTGCTAGTGAAACGTTAGCCCTATTAACAGTGGCTTGTGGTGAATATGCTGTGAAGAAATCAAGTGTTCTTGAATGGCAGAGGCAGTTCAAGGAAGGGAGTGAAGATGTGCAAGATGACACATGAAGTGGGCGGCCAAAAATGCTAAGGACAGATGCAAATGTGGAGAGTATGAACCTTGGTGTTCTCAGATAGCAGATTAGGTGTGAGACTATGGGTTATGGGAATCTGTTAGGAGGAAAAGCCCCGAACTCTGGCCTGACGAGTGGATTCTCCACCATGACAATGACCCTGTGCATGATGTGTTAAGAGTTCACAAGTTCCTGGCTAAGAAATCCATTACAAAAATGGACCATCATCCACTTATTCACCTGACTTAGCTCCTTGCGATTTTTTGGCTGTTTCCAGAATTAAAATATGCCCTGAAAGGACAAATATTTGCTGACATTCCTGACATCCAACGCAACATGACGTTACTGCAAGGTATTCTGGAAAACGATTTTCAAGACTGTTTCCAGCAGTGGCATCATTGTTGCATGATGCACATAGCTTCACAAGTATTTCAAAGGTGACAGCAGCTGCTAGTGCACAGGTAAGCAAATTTTGCTTTCACAGGGCCATTCCAGGAATTAAATTGTCGCACCTTGTAAATAGCCAGAAAAAAAACTCCTGTATAGTACAAAAGGGCACCAAACCTGACTGCTTTTGTCACAAAAATGGATGTCCATGCCTTGCAGTCCAGAATGAAGATAAACTGCAATTTCTTGAATTTGGATCCCGCTGAACTTACAAGAAAGCTCTATCAGTTCCTCCATTTCTTTTTGACAGTCTGCCTTCAGTTAACATTGGGTTTCTCATCATTTTTGTCTAACTCTCAGGAAAGTAGATCCAAGTTACAGCAGTGGTTCTACAGATTGACAGAGGCTGTAATTGTTCTTGCCCACAGTTTAGTCTTATTCATTTGAATTATTTTCAGTGCTTTTGTTTGTCATAAATGGAATATAGTGTCATTCCTGATCCCTGCAAACTTAAAATTAAGTTCACTGAAACAGCTGAAATTGTCAGCCAAGTAGGCCAACCTGAAAAGATGTAATTCATCAGTAAAGTAATGAGGAAGAATTGACAACCCATGCTCACTATCAGAAAGATCTAAGCATTTTTTCAAACTCACAGTAGTAAGAACAGACTATTCCTCTTGACAGCACTGTTACTTACTGTGAAGGTACAGTGTATTATTTTCACTTCTCATTTTGGAGCACAGTAATGAAAACAGTTGCGAATTCAGTGCCAAAAATGTTATAAAATTTACTTGCCACACAGCTTAATCTTCAACTGTAGTCAAGTTTTGTGGCATACTCTTTGTATAAAGAGTGTCATGATGAATTGTGCAGTGAGAAAATTTTTCTTCAAATGCTACTCACACGATTGAAACATAAACATCATGTTTACTTGCCATGGATTTAGCTCCATTTGTCCTAATGTGCACTTCCTTCAGTGTAATTCACTAACTGTCAAAAACCCATCCAGTTGAAGATTTCATCTCAATTTGTGTGGTATGACAGTATCTCACAAAACTGGAATGCTTAATTGACTTTGCCTTTTGCCTCAAATATTACAAAACAAATAAACACTGCACAGTTGGTAACATACTTTCTTATATAACTGGAATGCAGATTATTTTCATTTGTAGTATGCTAATAAGAAGCTGTCCTTTTACATCATGTCATTTCCTGTATTTCACATAGTTTGTCATTAGACAAAGGAATGTTATCCAGCTGTTTTGCAGCTTGCTGTCAAGAATGGTGTTTACCATGTTACTGCTGCTGACATTATTAGGGGTTCTGAGGTAGTCAGGTTTATCTGCTGTTGCAGTTCATAAACTAACCTGGTATGATGCCCTCAGTACACTGTCCTTAATGTTATAAAATGAATAGTCAGATCTGCCAGGATTTGAAAAATGAATGTCAGCACATTATGGTGGGGTCAGCCTTCTCCAAAACAAAAGAAGAGACCACTAACAGCAGATAAAAGAGCCATGGTTGTAGGAGCACTGACCACTCTTGGAACTGTTACCCCTCACCAATCGGTAAAGGAGGAGGATGGTGATAAACCTGGACCCACTTGCACCATATCAGGGAGCTGCCTTGAGGGAGCAGTAGGAGTGATTGCAGAGTAATCACCATGAAAAATAAGCCACGGGGAGGAAGGTGAGATTAATCACAGATGTCACAAGCACAGCCCTTGGGAGGGAGCAATGTGGCATATAGACCTGTTGCTAAGCGGTGACTGTATACAGTGTCTGTTGCTAGGTAACACCTGCAACAACAAAAGAATGGTGTTTTCTGTGGTCTCCGTTGCAGCCGTTTCTGGGCAATGGCTAAGTAAAAACGTCCTGTAGCAACAAATAGAAAAGCAACAATAGATGAATGGCATTTTCTGTTTTTTCATGCTGAGACATTATAAGCAATGGACAAAGTTAGTTGATAAGTTCTGTACAGAGTCCGCGGAAAAAAAAAGTTATTCGCAAGAGTGTGGCTGTAAAGAGAAGACTATTTGTGATATCTGGAGTATGTACTTCAGTGAGACTGTTATAGTTCCTATATAAAAATCCGTTGCCAGGAAGGGGCTAGTGGAGACAAATAGACTGAGGAGACTGGTGTGAGTCAGTGATCTGTAAAGTGTAATCACAAGTGTATAAGTGGTCAATAAATTGAGTCACCAATCTGGCCCCCGCCTATAGTCACACATACTACATGATAAAATTATTCCTAATCAAGAGCAATTTATGAGCACCGTGTAATACTAAGGAAGTTTATTCTACACGCTTCATTAACCCTTTTGAGCTTAGTGTTGAGTGTAGCTCATACCAGCAAAGTGGGTGTTAGTGTGTTATTGTGTAGTTTCCATGCGGCTGAGGAAATAAATCCAAACAAGGAGACCTCAAATAATGTCGTTTGGATGAACGGATGATGCCCCCAAGCAAGATATTGAAATTTTAACTAGTTTCTATTGAATTTAATTAAAGTCCATTTATTTTAAATTAAGAGCTATTGCATTCACATACAATATGAGAAGTTGGACATACCATACAATGCAACAATTTTAGCAAATTAAGAGACACCTGATAATGGCAATGTATGGTTGAAACATGTTGTGAGAAGAAAGGGGGACACTAATAAGTTGCATTGTAGATGGAAATGTATTGTATGAAATAAAATGAATTCATGACTTCCCACAACTTTTACAACTGTTCTTCCAGTTTTTCATCCCAACTTATTAATAATTGGTAGTCTGTACAGGTATTGTGACATGTGGCCTGAAAGCTGCAACCTGCCTGCTGGGTGGGGTTTCGCAGAGCACATTCGTGTGGTAACATGAAATACAGAGTTACTCTGGGTTCTGACGGAACTATTGAAGACATATCCATGGTAACAACTTCTAAACAGATTGTTACCATGGATATGAAAAACAGAAATCTTCAATGAGCTGATTCCTATCCCAGCCGCCTAGCAGGGCTAAAAGATCAGTTCAGAAGCAGAATCAGAAGGAGTGAGTCGGCAGTGAATAAGCAGAGCTACGCAGAGAGGGATTTGTTATCCAGAAGGAGTTGAGTGAACTGTTGTAATCAAGTGTAATTTTGATAGTGACACCAAATAAATCCAGTCATCAAATCTAAAATCCACAATTATTAGTCACGTTACCCCAGATACACTCTGGAAACAAAATGCTGTTCAAGACATTTATGATCATGATGGCATATTAAAGAGTATGGAGTGAAAGTGAACCAAGTATCTTTATTTTAAAGTTGTCATGCTTGATTACAACATAGCCCACTGCCTTGTTTCCTCTTCCTCTCATCTGTTTATTACAGGTACAGTGTATGTGACATGAAACAAGATATGCATGCAAGTGTGAGCTGCAAAATATAGCATAACACTTCTTTTTATCGTTCCTAAGCCATGTATACATCTGCACAACTGTTCTTGCATGTTATATTATTTCACAGTAACACAATGTAGATGGGTCATATAGAAAGTTATGATTAAAATTTCATGCATTCCTATGGATCACATACACCAGTTTCTGTTAGCTGTGTTGTTCTTCACTGCATGCTTGTTGATCTGGTTCATGGATCATATCAGTTATTAGCAACCTGATGAAAGATGGTTATGTCTCCAAATAATAAACACAGACCACTTGTAACCTATGTCCTTAGATACAATTTTATGCAAAATAATGCTACTATTATTTCCATTCAGCTCTTAAACAAAAAACTGCAATTGTAACCTATGCCTTAAATATTGTAACTATGCAAAACCATTGTACCCTTCAGTCAACTTGGTGCCCATAGCACCGACCATACACCTCTTGTAATCTTGTTACTGGAACAGTGCCAAATAATTAATTAATTTTGTTCTGTTACCACTATTGCTCTATGATTTCTTCAGTATCAAAGATGGGCTTATGCAGCACACTTACAGCTGATGATGATATTCTGTCAGAATTTTATGCACATCAGTTTTCTGATCTATCTGAAGACAAAATGAGTGAAACAGAAACACTGGACACTGATTAGTCACCATTAGTTCAAGTAAATGGTCATGACATCCTGTTCTTGCAAATGACAGTAAATCACACTTTACAGATGAAAATTAAATTTTTCATCTGAAATTAATATTCATTCTGCTGGTAAATTAGGTGTGTGGCGTAAAACTGATGAGAAATTGAGTGGTCAGCCATTTCTTATAGCTGCAGATGTAAATATGGTCACTGATAACCCGGATAGTATTAATGAAGAGGTCAGTGCTGTCATTGGTGATGAACTTGACTCAAATTTTACTGACCAACCTAATAATTACCACATCAGAAACTGAAAAGTTTTGTAACTTCACAGTTTTGATGGGGCAGGTTAGGAAAAAATATGAAAGTCAACTGACCCCACAATATGCATACCAGTGATCCCCAGGACCAAGAGTATGAACTGTTCTGAGGCAATCTGGCAACAATGGCCAGCACGCATAAGACTGAGGCAGACATTCCAGAGTCAACCTGCTTATGCATACAGAGTCCCTCAAGAGGAAAGGTCAGTCACAGTACTGGTCATTCTAAACAAAAGCATATAGTACACATGTCCTATTCTGAATAGTTTCCAAGATAGAGCTAATTCACTGTACAGCAATCTGGATTTGGCACCCAATATTGACCTTCCCTCCAACCATACTGTGCCACTGTTTGAAGCACCTGAAGAGTGTGAACTGGTGTGAAACATCAGTTGGCCATTGTGGCTGTTGATAGTGACACTGAAGGAGTATTGTGAAAAATGCTGCACATTTTGACAAATGCCAAATATGCTGATATGCTGTACATTTAAGGCTTCTACAATGGTAGTACCACTGCTGCTATTGAAGAATACTGTCAATGGTTTTCTATGTGCAGAATTCTGGATCACAGTGTTTTCCAAGGTGTTCAATACATTTCATGAACTTGGTACACTTCCCAGTGCTCCTGTTTCATCTGAACAAGCATGTCAACATGTGGATGAACTGGAAAAAATGATTGAAATGGTACAGCATCGCCCTACTACTAGCATGCAAAGACTTTCTACTGTTAGTTCCTCGGAACTCTAGCCGTGGTATGGGGGGTCATACTATCTCTGGCGGAGCAGTCTTATCAGCTTATGTCAGCATGGGTACTACTGGTTTGCAATGTAGTGTCTTCAAGTGTGGTCAGGTGTATAGTACATTGTGTATCTATTCCTGGTCTCTGTAGGCAATGTTTTCCGCTTGAGGAGTAGCTCTAAACGTCACCACAGCAAGCGTGCTCCACAACAGCGTTTACCTTTCTGCATGGCTAAAGTTACAAGGCATTAACTATACATGTCTTGGTGTTTCAAGAACACGGGTATGGCAAACACTGCATGATGACTGCTTCTACACATTTCACCCACAGCATTTGCAAAGTCTACACCCAGGGGACAATGCCATGCACCTAGAATTTTGTCATTGGCCACATACTAATTGCAATTGCTTCCACTAATAATGTTCACTGATGAAGCTACTTTCACCCGTATTTGAAGCAACAACACACGTAAATCACATCGATGGTCTCACAACAATCCACATGACACTGTGGAAACAAATTTTCAACGTCCTTTCTCTATCGATGTGTGGTGTGGTATGATTGATGACATGTTGATTGGTCCCGGTATTTTAGACAATCACATGACACAACATAATTACATAGACTTTCTGCAAAATGGATTATCAGAACAACTAGGGGATATTCCTTTGCCTATACAGATTGCTATATACTTTCAGTATGATGGAACCCATTCTCATTATACCCAATTTGCGATGCAACATCTCAATTACACTTTCCCTAATCAGTGGATAAGTCAAGGCAGTACCATTAACTGGCCAAGATTTCCAGACCTAACCCTGTTAGATTTTTGTTTATGGGCTTGGATGAAGGGTATAGTGTACAGAAAGAAGTTGACACGTGAGACAAACTGTTCAATCACATAATGGATGTTATCGCCCGCATAAAGGAATATCAAGATGCATTCAGATGAGCAACACACCATGTTCTCACATGAGTAGCAGAGTGCATTCATGTTGACTGTGAAATTTTAAAAAATGTATTTATTATACTAGGTAAACTTACCAACTTTGTCACTTGAAGAATAAACACTGGTATTAGCAACAGCATGTAATGTCTCTTTCTTATCAACAATTTTGGAAATGTAGAGTGAAATAGCTCCATCTTGGAAACCGTTCATATAGGACATGTACATATACACTCTTTTGCTTAAAATGGCTGATACTATGACCTCCTAGAATATTGACCTTTCCCCCTGGAACATCCTGTATTTTCTTCACAAGTTCAGATTAATTTACAGCCCCTGTAGAGAACTTGCTGGATAAATGCACGATCCCATGCACAGGCTGCCTAAAATTCTAGGAAAAATCACAAAGTATACACCATTAGAATGGTGTTTGCAGCTAAATTAAGATTTACAAAAGAGGAACACGTTAAAGACTTTTCCACTTTAGCAAATATTTCTCAAAAATGTAAATAAACATTCATGTAAACCAGCATTTCACTTTGTGGCTTCCAGATGTGATTGGAACTGGGTAAGATCAAGGGTTAAGACCTTACTTATCAAACACTCTCCAACCTGGAAAAAAAAATCAATATTACTAGTACAAACTAAATCTGGCAGTAGAACTCAAAGCCACCTTGGACACAATTGTAAGCTATTTTTGTACTTCATTACCTACTTCCCTACACTATATCTTGGTGTACTTCCAGGTAATCAGTCCTCAAAGTGACTACTTTACAATAGGTTTCCCCACCAAAAATCTGTGCATATTTCCTGTCTCCTCACCTGAGCCACATGTCTGGCTCAACATAAACTCCCTGATTTCACTGCCAAAACAATATTAGGCGACCTGTATAAGTAATTAATTTTGTTATGTAATAGTCTGTGGATTTTTTATCAAGCTTCTCAGCAAATCACTGAACAGGTAGCATGAAGCAAGCTTATGCATTATGGGCTGGCCCGCTCAGATGGTCCCAACACTATGTTCCTTTAACTCTGACTACTTTAAGACTCTGGTCTCCTGGATTGCGACACTACCTGTATGCAGTTTTGTGGTTGGCTACTGACATTTTACAGGAGCATACTGCTTCCATCTTCTGAAGTATGTAAGGTCCAGAAATGGGCTTGGTTATAAAGGCAGTTTACAAGGAAAGTTGGCTCCAGAACCATGGAAAGGGAACAAAGGAAGGAGCCTGGTCCAACCCAATGGAAAGAAAGGGACAAAAATGATCATTCAAGGTTCATCACAAATCATCAGAGTTCATCAGAGGTAGAAAAAGAACAGTAATCCCTGGAAAGGACAGTTTTTTCTCACTGTTCCACCTCCTACCTGTGACTATAGACCAATGCACCCTTATAAGCACCATTTCTATTTCTTCCCACTGGCTTGGGCTGGGCTCCTTTATTTACTATCCCTCCTTGGACCTCAGGTTCATCCTCCCTGTAATTTTCCTGTACAACCAAGGCAATTCCTAACCTTACATATATGAACGCTGAAAACAGAAGCAGCACATTCCTCTGAAATGTCAGCATCCAGCCCCAAAAATGCATGGCATCACACACAGAAGACCACAATCTTAACAACTACTGCCATGAAACCTCAAAACTTATATCTCACTAGTGTAATCTATTTGATCTGTGTGATAAGCATTCACTCAGTCATGTTATTTCCTGTGTCAAAATGCCACACGTGAGATACATATGGGAATGAGTGTTCAGTTAATTGTTTCTGAAGGAGGATATTACTCTATACTTGTTACCTTTACAGGATTTGAGGTTCTCGCCAGTTGTAATTATGAGGAGTTCTATCTCTGTCATCTGGGATATAACACCATGTAGTCCACTGAAAGACAACTGATGATTCAGAGGAACATGTCATCTCCAACTTGAGGGCTGAAGAGCAAGCCAAGCAAGAAACTAGCATGAAATAGCCAACCCTGAAGATGGAGCAAACATGTTCCTCCAAAACCAGGACTGACTTTCAGCAGACTACATGGCATTATACCCTAGAAGACAGAACTCTTGTTTACTTTATTTTGGGTCTGTGATTATGTTGGCCTCCCACACTTGTTTTCTTTCTTGTAAGAGTACCTATACGAAAAATGATTCTGCAGAAAAGGTAAGATCAAAGTGTAAGTTTCCCAGATGTCAAATTCCATACAGAACTGTATATAAACTGAGACAGAGCTTTCAAAGCTACCATAAAACTTATGAAGCTGAATCCATTCAAGTTAACATAAACTACAAACTGGAACCATGTCATTTCACTAACAGTGATTTTGTAATTTGATTCTTCACACTGTTCAGGATTTAAATTGATCCTCACCTGAGTTCTCTTTTCTGACAAGGCTTTGTTTCACTAAGGGAGGTAAAATTCACATAACTGTGGGTACTGGACTTCATATAATTCAAGATTTCACTAGGTAATTATAAAATTAATGTTACCTGGACAGTACAGAGCTTCAGAACATGCATGTCACCAACAAAGTGATGTACATAGTTTATACTTACATCAGGGCAAATGCCTATGAGAGCATCAGCATGGCTGTAGAACTCCTCTTTCAACGATATGACTATGGTCTGCAGAGATGCTGTTTTGTCACGGATGTAGCTTGCCACTTTACCAATGTTTGTGTTGTCCAATGCTGCATCAATTTCATCCAGGACGAAGAAAGGAGATGGTTGGTAGCTATGTAATTATATACATAAAGGACCATTTTTGCATTACATTTCAAGCCCAGCATCAGTCAGTCCTAGGATTATTCACATATAATAGACTGGAGGAGAAACAACAAAGACTAATGCATGCTAAAAACATCCTCAACATGTCTTTACATACAGATTTTCCCCTCATAATAAGTGTATATCTTTGACCTCACGTATGTAATGTAATGTAATATAAATATAATACAATATAATATAATATCATCCACTCATGGAGCTGAGCCCTTCTTGAGAAGCCGCCAATTGTGCAGCTACTCAAGAACCTCCCAGCATTTTATGGAATCCAAAGGTTCATTACTGTGTTCACAAGAGCCCTCCACTGGTCCCTATCCTAAGCCAAATTCATCCCATCCTGTCTCTCTAAGATCCACTTCAATATTGTTCATCCATCTATGTCCTGGTCTTCCCAGTGGTCTCTTTCCATCTGGTTTTCCCACCAATATCCTACATGCATTCCTCTTCTCCCCCATTTGTGCTACATGCCCTGCTCACCTCATCCTCCTTGACTTAAACATTCTATTTATACTTGGAGAAGAGTAAAAGTTATGGAGCTCCACAATATACAGTTTCCTCCAACCTCCTGTCACTTCATCTCTCTTCGGTCCAAATATTCTCAACACCCTGTTCTCAAACATCCTCAGTCTATGTTTCTACCTTAATGTCAGAGACCAAGTTTCACACCCTTACAGAACCACAGGTAAAATTATAGTTCTGTATATTCTAATTTTTATGTTTTTAGACAGCAGATAAAAAGACAAAAGGTTCCCAGAGTTCAATCTCCTCTTTATTCCCTCGTGAATCAGGGCAAAGCAGACTGCATATAAGATATTGGTGGGAAAGCCAGAAGGAAAGAAACCACTAGGAAGACCAAGATGTAGGTGGGTGGACAATATTAAAAACGATCTTAGAGGGACAGGATGGGATGATATAGACTGGATTGATCTGGTTTAGGATAACAACCAGTGGAGGGCTCTTGTGAACAAAGTAATGAACCTTCAGGTTCTATAAAATGCTGGGAAGTTCTTGAGAGGCTGCACAACTGGCAGCTTCTTAGGAAGGGCTCAGCTCCATCAGTGAGTGAGTGCATGAATTAGCAACCCACTTTGGAAATTTCTGCCATATGAATCCCCAATACTACCACTGAGACTGCAAACTTACAGGGAAGGTCAATATGATCTGACTAACTGTTCACGGGCATAGCTGATTTTCATTTCAGGGTTCAATATAGGTTCCACAGATGGTGCTAGCAATTGACCAGTTTCATAAAGCACAGCAATCTTAAATTCTTCCTCTGGATTGATGTTTCTGGACACGGTTGTCAGTCTGGTTAGTTGCATTTCTTTTCTATTTTATTTTCAGGTCTTTTTATGCCTTTCTACAGTTCATATTGTAAATTTCTGTTATCTCCTGCTGACAAAATATTTCAGTGAATATATAAATATAGTTATACTGACAAAGATTATTAACCCAATAGAGCAGGTACCTCAACTATTTCATGTGAGGATCAAACAGATCCACTTTGAAAAACACTGTATTCTTTAGAACATACACAATGGACAAAATCCAAAAATTCACTAATATCAAAGCAACTTGTATATATTTAGCATACATATTTGTCTATCAATACTACGTTCACAAAGAAACATAAAAAACATTTACAAACACTTTGTACTTTCACATGTGGTTAACTCCTACCAGTGAAAGATACTTCTGTCAGAAAATAAATATGAGAAACATATTTCTAAGAAAATATCTGTGGCCTGAATCAGTGCCTGAATCACTATCAGAATCAAGAAAAGAAATGCAATCATCAGTTTCTTCTAATGTCCTCAAATAATGTCCATCAATGATATGTGCTTGATTTGAAATGCCAGCCATACAGGTAGACACTCATCCTCAAATGATACATCTTAGAAACTTCGTGATTTTAGTCTGCAAGCGAACTATACCGACTGAGCGACCGCCGCCTGCCGGCAAAGTTTAATGATGTTAAGGTTAAAGCTATTTCCAGCAAAATTTGAGGTCCTCACAACGGCGGTTACGAAAAGTCCTATTTTCTGGGATATAACATCATGCAGTCCATGCAAAGAGAACCAACATTTCAGAGGAACATGTCTCCATCCTCAGGGTCGAAGAATAGGCCAAGCAAGAAACCAGGATGAAGTAGATAGCAAGCAAAGCTTGCTTGCTTGTAGTATGTAGTTTGGTAGACAAGTAAATTCCTCTAAGATGTTATGTACCTCTCTACCAAACTATACAGTGTCACATCTAAGGAGACCTTGTATGAACACTCACCACCATGAGAACCTTAGTCTTCTGTTTCATTAGAACTTGATACACTACATCAGCCTCGGTTAAAAAATTTTCAGCATGTCAAAGATATTTACAGACTATAATCAAACAAAGCATGCCACTTGTTACATACCTATATAACCTTAACTTCTAAACACTTCTTATGACATCACAATAATTACCTGTGGATTGCAAACAGCAGAGCAAGTGCTGCAACAGTTTTCTCTCCTCCAGACAAGTTAGACATCGGCTGGAATCGCTTGCCTGGTGCTACACAGTTGTAATTAATTCCATCCAAATATGGTTCCTCTGGGTTCTCAGGACCCAGAAAAGCTTGTGCAGACTGATTCTTTGCAAGACTCTGTAAACAGGTTGGATTATGTCTGAGGACATAAATGAACTGATCCTATAAATATTCTATTGTTTCATTTGTTAAATGCTGGATATTTATACCTCCAGACTATATAGATAACATGTAAATTTAATTATAGGCATGTCCCACAATTACTTTTCCAGTTCAAATAGAGAATTTGAAAATATTTTGAAAACTCAGATGAGTATTTTCGCTAGCTAACCATTTTTTTTTCACTGTAATCACTAGTCACTTTTTCAGTATGCTACTGTATTTACCTGAATGGATGATTACTAATTTGAATTAAAGGTAAGACAACCCTGCACCAGGGAAAATGTGTGAACAGAAAAAGTAACTTTATGAATTAATTTCATACACGCTTCAAACATGTGAACGAAAATAAACATTACAATACATGTTATACATGAAGAGTTCTCTCTTCTGGGATATAATGCCATTGTAGTCCAATGAAAGTTAACTGATGTTTCAGAGAAACATACTGCCTCCATCTTCCGGGTCAAAAGTGCAGACTAAGCAATAAGCCAGCATGATACAAGCAGCAAGCAGGGCTCTGCTTGCTATGTTGCTTCATCTACTCTTCAACCCTGAAGATGGAAGCAATATGTTCCACTGAAATATTGCACCAGACTGCTAACACTCTTTGGTTATCATTTTCAGAGAGATCCACTGCCATGATATCTTGATCCTTTGGCATAGCAGATCTGCACTAAGGTTGATTGTTCTGGGTGGTGTCAGAGAATGATTTATGTTTCAAATGATCCTTTAGGGGCTTATTCATTAGAATGTGCAGTTGTGCTCATCCTTCTAGGTATGACCACAAGGTCAGTATTCATTGCTTGAATCACAGATATAATTTCTGTCATTACATGGCTTTTATGTGTATCCAGCACCAGCTTTCCTCTTGTTCTTAACCATGCTCTTGCTCTCCTATTCCAGACAACTTATAACCAGTCCCCCATCAGTTCATTAAATCATCTGCCTCATAGTTTGGGACATGATTATTGGTTCCACAGGCAACTGTGCCTTAGGGATAGTTTTTTTACTCAATATCACACATGGTGGTAGTTACTTACTGTCTGTCAACTTTGTAAACAGCACAGTCACATCTCTTCTTTACCTGATGTTTCTGACAAAAGGTATTTTTGGTATAATTTACTGTTTTTGTTGTTTCCATCTTCAGATGTTTGCCTTTGGAGACACTGAATTTTCTTGCTGCTTCACAGTTGTTTGTTTTAAAATCTGAACCTTTCACAGTTGCTGAAGTTATTAGAATCTTTTCAGCCATGTCAGTTGGTTCTGTATGACCAATATTTTATCTGTGTCCCCATCATCAAGATCTGACATCAAATCATCAAATCCTAATGACAGGGACAGAGATGTTCTCTATAACATCAGTCATTTTTATGCAACTTACACGATTGTGAGCCCAAGAAGATTTCAGTAAACTTTCTGTTCTGTGTGTTTATCACTACAATCTTGAATTACATATCACAGCTGCAGTGCCTGATACCTTTTGACACATTATCCCTTTCTGCACTACTAGTTCTTTTCTTGACATCATCTGGATTTTCTGGCAAACAACACTTGCGTTAGCACTGAATCTCACGATATAAATCAGAGAATTACCATGATTCCTTCTGAACTTGGCAGTTTTGGCACACTCATGGCAGCTTGTGGCTTCTGACCTTCAAATATACTTTCTCTCATCACTTACTCTCACAGCAGGATAGTGCAAATTATGCTGTGAACATGCTAGAAGCTTAAATTATAAATGACTAATATATATTTATTTAACAATGAAATTAATGAAGGGTAGTGCTGTAATTCTTAAGAGGGGGGAGGGGAACTTCTCTACCATTTGGTAAAATACCATAACGATCCCTTCTGACATAAATCCCTGATGCACAAAATGTAAGCAGCTATGAGAAAATTCTCAGTGTTTGAGACTGCAAAATTAATGTTTTAATTGAGATCAAGAATTTTGTATTCTCAATCTCATCTAAAAAATCCAAGGCCTGCACATGCCTATTTAAATATTTAACCACTTAGCTGCCACTACAGCCAGAGAAGATTTAATGTTTGCAATATTACTACTAAACAGTGAAACAGAATGAAAAATGTGTTAAACAGTGGACAAGATTCATTTATCCAATCAGGAAAACAAGCCCTTGTTGAGAACTCAAGTAATGGAAGAATTTCTATAGTGTCTATATATGTCATTTTTAGGGAGGATTAGTACAGCTACTGCTATCTGAATTATATAGATAGGCTCATATAAAGTTACTGAAAACATGAGTTTATAAAACAGAATAAGAAGATGCCAGCATTAAGAGTCTATGTATGAATTAGACAGCCATTAGTCAAAACACTAACTCCTTGCTCTAATTCATGGCACTATCAGCTCACAACTTTTGTGACACTCAAATTTCAAATGGGATCTATTATGGTTTACTATTATGTTAGATAAGGAACAGCCCTTTTTATTTCACTATGTTTCATTATTTTGAGATGAGCAAAGGATTAATCTGAACATAAAATAAGCAAGAAAAATAAAAACATGCCTGGTACTAGAAATATGAATAGGTGAATGATGATTATAGTGCAAGTATTTCACGTACATGGTAACATGACAGTGCAATGAAAAAGTTATAACAAGACATATCACTAAAGTGCATAAATGATCAAATAGCATTCAAGTTAATAGTAATCAATTTTACAAAAGAAAATGTGCCCTCACAAACTTGTCTGAACCTTCCAAGGTATTTCAGTAATGTGACATGTAGACCCATTTCTAGGCAATGCCTGAAATACACGCATGCAACAGAAAGGGTATTGGAAGAAGTGTTTTTTATGTGGTCTGCGTTATGCCCAGGGCTGGGCAACAGCCTGATATACACACATTCTGATAGCAGAGGTGTTTTCTATGTGGTTTGCACCATGCCCAATGCTGGTAACAGGCCAAAGAACACATATTCTCACACATGACATGATTTCTGTGCTGCATGGTCCATGTTGCGACTATATAAGGGAGTCAGCTGTCAGTAGGATATTACCATAGGAAGTGAGTAGTTGATGAAGAATTAGAAGTCAGCCTGTGAAGACCTAATGCGTGACTAGAAGATTCAGTCACAATGAGACTGTTTGAATTCTGTTATCAGGGTACAATTAGTGAAGACTGAGAATCCTAGTGCGTAACAGTGAACTGTAAATCACGTAAATCAGCAATAGTGTTGTATTATTTGTAAGTATGAGCTGATTGTATAAGGTGTTAATAAATCTAATCACCAATCTAAACCTTGTCTATAGTCACTAATATACATGACAGTATTATCCCAACTGACAAACTGGGATATTACAAAGAGGACACCCAGCAAGATGGTTATCTTCTGTTAGGCCTGATGGAATTTATCCATTCATGTAAACCCTGTAAATGTGCTGAAAACTAAATACAAACTGAAAATTGTCATTGCTTGTTTTTGCAATGATTCTGAAAATCACCACCTGAAGGTATGGAAAATATACATGATGCTTAAGGTAACAGAGATAATATAAAATACACTTGGAACTATAAAAGACAGGTACTTATTATCTTGTAAATGGAATGTTACCTGTTCTAAATAATTACCTTGTAAATGTTGTCAATCTCATTGGCAACATGCTCAAAGCAATTCATGAAACGATCGTGCCTTTCTTTCTTTACCCGTTCAAAATTTTGCTTAGCTTTGCGGGCATGGCGACGAGCAGTTTCAAATTCCTCATTGGTTTCTTGAAGCTTCTCTCTAGCCATGTCTAGTTTCTGCATTGCCTGCAACAAAAAAGGGGGGAAAAGTGAGAAAAAATCGGGGT